CCAAAAAAAAATAACGCGGCGATCCGACCTGGTCTTGGGGATAAAAAGTTCTTAGAGGGAGGTCATCTTTACTTTACGACACCGAAGAAACAGTCCAGACCCCCCCTCACACCCAACCCCTTGGCTCTCTTCGTGCGGAACTTCTTTTCAACGGTTTAGGATATCAACCAAGCTAAAAGTCAGACGTTTCTGTCGCTTGATGTAAATCCAATTCTTGCTCTGCCCGTACCCTCTCGTCCTGTTCCTGTTACCGCTCTTGACAGGTCCGGTGGCTCTCGACCACCACCCCGGCCCCGCGATCCCCGCTCCACGCGCACCGGATCATGTGCCTGTGCGTGTTGCCCCCGCCGCCGCCGCCACCACCGCCCTCACGGTTGGGGTCACCAGTCCCCACTCACGACGGCATCAACGCCGCCGCCGCCGCCGCCGCCGCCACCGCTGTTTTCGTGGCCGGAGACTCGGGCGGCGGCGTGGCGGTGTATGAACTGCGGCATTCCGCCGCTGCTGCCGCTGCTGCCGCTGCTGCTGCTGAGACCACCGCCGTTGGCAACGCCTCCGCCGCCGTAGACGGAAGGCTGCGGGAGGCCCGGTCGCACCCCGTGGGGAGGTGGATGGCGGCAGGGAAGCGACCGGTGCTGTGCCTGGCACACGCTCGGGTGTGGCCTTCAGCTACCCATCAGCAGCAGCATGAGGTTCTAGACTTGATCGCCACCGGTGATACCGGAGGGACGGTTACAGTATGGCAGTTTTACGGTGGCGGCGGCGGCAGCGGCGGCGGCGGTAGTACTCTGCCGTCCGACCACGGGGAGTTTGTGTACCGCGGGCCGGCGGGAAGGCGACGGGGTGGGGCGGCGCGGACGGGTCCGGAGGGGGCGGCGGCTCCCCCTTGCCACGCTCTCGTTCCTGTGTTGGAGTACCGCGCTCACCAGGTGATGCGAAGACAAGGATGATACCATGATCGTACTCTACCTTTGCCTGGTTAACAAAGGTTAACAAAACTCGTTTGTTGCGGCATAGGGTGGAGGTAGATTCTACGGTGCACGCTTTTTGGCGTGAGTGAATTTCTTAAAAATTAACGTGCCTCCGACAGTGTCGTTGTCAATTCGTTATTTGTAGGCGCTTCTCTCTGGGAGTCTTGGTCATGCTGGAGTGGCTCGCGAAGGCTTGCCTAGAGAATATTTCTCACCTTTCGATCCCCTTCAACGCCCCGACTATCCCTTCTGCACAGGAAATGATAGATTGGTTTGAGTGGTGTGCATGGATGTTGCCGCGCTTCTTGCACACTGTCGCACGACAACCCGCGCGATGTTTTGTTTCGGTTCCAAACCTTCCGTCGGCCTCCACACCAACCCCCCCTAGCCTCCTGGGGGTGTCATTAATATTTACTTCTACGTGGTACCACGAGTAAACAGCAGTGGTGCTACTTTTTTCCTCCCCCGCTCGAGCGTTGACCAGTAGACAGCAGTGATGCTGCTTTTTTCGTCCCCCACTCGTGTTTCGACCCTTTGTTTTTCTTTCCCTCCCTGGTTGGCAACGAATCCCAGATGGGCGTGCTCTGCATGGCCGTCCACGTGCCAGCGGGGGAGCGGGGACGCGTGGTCGTCGTGACGGGGGGTGACGATCAAGCCATCTGCGTTGCCGAGCTCGAGGTGGCGGAGGTGTTGGACGACGGTCGCTGTTCCCCGACGACAACAATAGCGTCAGACCGGGGGCGCTCGTCGTCTCTAGGGCCGCGAGGGCAGGGAGGGGACGAGGTGCCAGCGAGAAAGAGGTGCGGCGCATCTTTGTTCCCGGGACAACGCAGCCGGCTTGTGGTGTTCTAGAAGGGGCCAGGGGAGGGGCGGGAGGGGGTGAGGCGAAGGCGAGAAAGAGGCGTGGCGTACATTTTTTTCAGGCACTACATTGCTGTGGTAGAAGGGGTCAGGGGGGGAAGAGGCGGGGGTGACGCGCCAGCGAAAAAGAGGCGAGGTGCATATTTTCCGGAACAACACTACTACTGCTGGCTGTGGTGGAAGGGGGCCAACTGCTGTAGTCTAGGTGGCAGAGTTGGTCTTTTCCTTGGACCCAATGCAGAGAAAACAGCACATATTGTGTGAGTACACCATCGCCAGACAGACCATGCTTGCGAGATAAACCAAGCCATGTCGACCTCGGCCTTGGTCGACTTCAAGATACACAGCAGTAGTCAGTGAGACAGAGTTGTAGTATGGAGGTCCGCTTGGCTCTTCTTCGAGTCGAAACACGTCAGCTGCGTGAGCTGTTGAGCCTCGGAAACGCCACAACTTGCAGCTGGCAGCTAGCTGTGGGCTGGTCCTGCTGCCTGCTGTTTCATCTTGCATCATCACACCCCTCGACGACACTGCAGTACTCTCATGAGCCCTCTCCGAAGGGATGGATCATCCCTCGCATGCAGATGTATTTGTTCGTGAAACGTGAAACCCAAAAAGATGAGAAATGAAAACACTCCCTCCTCCTTCACGCGCCGCCGCACCGTGTCTCCCTCTCCCATTTATCGTCATCCTACCAGACAATCTGCCGTCAGGCTTGTCGCGGGCTCGCCTCAAGTCATCGAGGGGGCCGCGGGGTCAGCGATCAAGGGGATGCAGCTTCTGCCCGCCGAGCCTCCTCCTCCGAAGAATCCTCTGGCCAACCTTCCGGGACCATCTACGGAATCTCCGATAACAATGCAATCTCCGACTCCTTCGGCTGGCATGCACGACGACGACGCTGCTGTCGCACCGCCGCCTTCTTCGCGGTCGGTTAATTTTTCTTCATCTTCTTCCACAACCCCCGCCGTAGACCCGGGTGTGGGGGCGGGGGCCGTGCCGCCGTGCTCTCTCTCCTTGTTCACCGTCGCCCGCGACCAGAGGCTGTCGCGCTGGGACCTCGTGAAGGACGGCAGCAGCAGCAGCAGCAGCAGCAGCAGCAGCAGCAACAGCAGCAGCAGCTTCGGCAGCGTTGGTGATTCGTCGTCGTCGTCTGAGCAGCAGCAGCAGCAGCAGCAGCAGCCCGCTACTACCCCGGCGGGCACGAACGACCGGCGAGCAGCGTCTGAGCCTACTACTCCCCGTCGTCGCGATGATGATGATGGCGGTGCGGTCGGCGGCTCGCGCTGCTGCCCGTCGGGCGGCGACGATGGTGATCGTGACCCCCTGCGAGCGAGGCGGCGGCGGCCGATGTTGTCGCCGTTGTCGCAGAAGAAAGGTGGCGGCGGCGACGATGACGACGGGTCGGGAGAGTCGGAGGAGCAAGGGGAGGAGGATAGGGAGGGGGAGAGTCGGCAGGGCCACAAGGGGGCGGCGGAGCGGCAGTGGCGGCTGCGGTGGCGGGCGGGGTGCGTGACCGACGTGTGCGACGTCAGCGGCCTCGACGTCGCCCCTCTCCCCCCTCACGAACCACGACAACATCGGCGGCATGCAGCCGGCGAAGACACCCTCGGCGGCGGCCGCGGTAGTACTAGTAGTAGCAGTAATAGTAGTAGTAGTAGCAGTAGTAGTAGCTCCCAGCAGCGCGCTCCTGGCGGCGGTGGTAGCGGCGACCGTGCATCATCGCCGTGTCGTCGTGACCGCACCGTCGCCGCGCTCCTCCCCCGAGAAGAAGCGGAGGAGGGGGGAGAAACGACGGCAAATAATGCGTGCGGGGGGGTCCCGAGCAGCGAAACAGAGGTTTCGACGAGGGCGGACGCATTCGTCGCCCCCGCGGCCATCGTGGCGGTTTCCGGGCAAGGTCTGCAGCTCGTCGTATTCGGCGCGTGTTAGTAAGAGCGGAAGGAAGGAAATTGTTTGTAGCCGAAAGGGGAGGGGGGGGGAGTAGGGTGGTCGGCTTTTGCAGGAGCCAGGGGTTGTCACAATCTGCGCAAATTATTGTTGGCCAGCTCGTATGTATAGTGTCCCTGGTGGGCCAACAATCAACCAGGAGGGAGTCCTTCGGTATGCTGGGTGGGCCAATCGAGTCTTCTTCGTGTCACCTCTTCTCAACAGATCATGGCCAGAATGTAGGACATCGATGGAGATGGTTCAAGTACACATGCGATAGCCGGCGAGACGCCTTACTATCCAAAAGAAAGCGAAAGGTATTTTTCATGTCCAGGCCCGGACACGACCTGCTCCGCAGAAGGACGTTCGTGCCGTGTCGTCCTCGGGTCCGTTTTTCATCTAGCAGCACAATAGATGTGATGGGCTTCATACACACACAGGTCACACTGCTGTGCCTGGTCGAAAACACACCGAACTTCAGCAGTCGCCAAAGAAGGTAATCCTCTTTCGGTTTGGCTTTTCCCATGACTACCTCCACGCGAATGCATTTGTTTGTCCTTGCCCAACGTCACCGTTTTCCCGACGTACAAACCCTCTCGCGGGGGGCAAAAACATGGCGTAGCATGACGAGGCTTGGGAGCTATGCCCCCAGCCGAAGCTGCTATTCATATAACGTTTCCGTTTGGGCTTCACCCACCCAACCACCCACCCACCTAATCGGCACCGTGTTTCACGTGAAGACATCAACAACGACAACAGAGTCGCCCGCCCATTCCTTCGCTACCACCCGATGCCCGTCGCCTGTGAGATACTCGTACAGTACCGCTCCAACGCACAACCATACCACCCTGTGTACACGTTCCACGAAACAAACAAATGTACGCAGGGAACAAACCATCTTCTATGCAGACTCATATCTACAATTCCACGACAAAGACAGCGTAGAAGTCGTGAGCCCCCTCCATTCCCAGAGATATTTTCATGAGCTACCGGTATACAGATTCATTATGTTCTGTGTCGTGCCAGTGCGCAACACGCAATCTACATACAACCCGAAATACCTCACAAGTAACCAACTAACCAACGCAAGAGCTTTGAAGAACAGCCGAAAAATCGGGAGGCGGCGTGGTGTATGTACGACAGAAAAACGGTTGTCCCGGAGTAATCAGTTTTTACTTGATGGGCGTGTATTTACAACATACCCTCGCTTGACCGCGCGGGGAGAGAAAAGTGGAAACCGGGGATCACGCAAATCCGTCACCTTCCACTAAGCCAGGAGAGCGCAGTCAACGCAGCCACACAAACCTGCCCATACAAATGAGTGCTGTATGGCAGCGGCTAAACTGTAGCTATCTACCAATCAGCTGCCACCGAAGGCAAGCGCTCCAGCCAGGACGGCGGAGCCAACTCCCCGCGGGCGCTCGAGTCCTTCTTGGCAGCAGCTGCAACTGAACCGGACCCGTCTCCACCATCGCCGCCACCGCCACCAACAGACGTATCGCCACCGCCACCGCCACCACCGTAATACGCCCCGTACGCCATGTCCACCCAGCGTTCGACAAAGTCCATCTCCACCCTCCTGGCGTCGAGGACGTCTTGGGGGTCAAGGGGGTGCTCGAAGAAGAGGTCGAGGTGGTGCGCCGCCTGGTCCATCATGATCACCTCCACGCCGCCGCCGGCCCGCCGCTGGTCGACGACCCCCATGCCCGACCACGGGTCCAGCCGACCGTTGCTGAACACCACGTTCGTGACTTTTGTTTGTTTTGTTTTGTGTGTCGAGTCGAGTCAAGCGAGCGGGCAAGAGAGGACGAAATTGCCGAAAGACGGGAGAGTGAGAGAAGGGTAAGAAAAACAACAAGCAGACGGAGGGGTAGGAATGAGAGAGAAAGAGAGAGAGAGAGAGAGAGAGAGAGAGAGAGAGACACACAGACAGACAGACAGACAGACAGACAGAGATAACTGATTCCATGGACGTCCCGTTGCTCGCTGCTATGCGTTCAATCGAAGCATTTCGTCGGGGAAGAGGTCATTGTAAGTCTGTTTGCGAGTGATTATGGCCTGCAGGTACAGGTACAAAGGTCCCCTTCGTATCGAGAAGGAACAAACTTGATTGACGAAAGCACACAGGGGGTCGATGGGGGGGGGGGGGGGGGGAGGCCGACATACCCTCTCTCTCTCTTCCACCACACTACACAGAGCACCACGAAATAAAGTTTTGCTCCGTGGTCTACCTCGGGCAACGCCACAAATATTCACGCGCTGAATACTGAATGAAAGAAGCTTCACGACGAACGAAACACGCGCCTAGAAATGGTGAAGAGGCATGTCCAATCTCCTCGCAACTACTCTCACGCTCCGACCAAGAGTCGTGATAATACCGCACTAATTCAGCAACAAAAAAAACAGCAGTGCGCTGGTTATCGTACAACAAGTAGCGCGGGGGGGAGGGGGCGTGAGTCCCCCGCAAGAGTTAAAGAGGCGTGTCGTACAAATACTCTCACCCTGCGACCAAGAACCGTGATGCTACAGCACAAATCCAGCAATGGAAACAACAGCAGTATTTTGGCTATGGAACAACACAAAGCGCGCGGGTGTGTGTGTGCGTGAGCCCCCCGCAAGAGCTAGAGAGGCGTGTCGCATACTCTCACCCTGCGACCAAGCGTCGTAGCCCCCGTACTCCGCCGCGCCCCAGCCCTCCCCGGGGGACACCCCGAACTGCTCCATGCACTGGGCGGCCTGCGCGACCGGGTCCCAATCGTTCCGCCAGAACATGTCTCGCTTGCCGTCGGTCGACATCGGCATCGACATCTCGGTGCACGCCTGTTGTCACTCGAAGGGATAGGTTAGGGTGTGTAGGGTTGGCGGGGCCAAACAAACACGGCAAACGTTCGGCGTCGTGGGCGTAGAAGGTGCAGCAGCTCCGAACACTATTTTCTTAGCTACTGGTTTGCTTAATTGTGCTGTTTGCTCACGCTGGTCGTTGTTCCTTCGACCTTTCGTAGCCTCGGCCCACCTGCCAATTGTACTGAATGCTCAAGCTGGTGTTGTTTTCTCTCTCTTAGCCGTGGACCATCTACCAATTGTACCGTACGCTCACCATGGTTGTTATTTATTCACTTCATGCTGTCGCGGCCCACCTGCCAATTCCAGTTGTCCGCGTCGACGGAGGAGGCGTTATTCGCACCGGCGGCGGGCGTGAAACACCCCACCTCTCCGGTAGCGTTGTAGTAGACCCCGATAGCATCCGCCAGAGCGCCAAGCAGCACATCGTCGTCTTCGGCCTTTGCTCGCAGTAACGGTGGCATGCACGTCGGTCGACCAGAGGACGAACGAACACGGGGGGAGAACGAAAAAAAATTAGAGAGAGAAAGAGCGAGAGAGAGACAGACAGACAGACAGACAAAGATTGAGAGGGAGGGAGGGAGAGAGAGGGAGAGGGAGAGAGAGACAGAGACAGAGACAGAGAAATGTACGTGTATGTGCGCGCTGACTTACGCGCCCCCACCCCTCCCCCCTCTCTACACCCGCCCCCGGGGAGGCCTTCCAAGAAAAGCAACTTCGTGGGGCCTGTTTGCCTGTCGCACCTGTAACGTCGGATCGGCGAGGTACGAGCAGGCCTCGCGGAGCGGCCAGGGCGGCAGCTCAACCTCACCAGAGTTCAACATGTAACCCGTCGCGTACGGGAAGTTGCCCATCGCCAGGTAGTCGAACGCCGCCCTTGCCCACCACGCCAACTCCACCAGGGCGCCGTCTCCCCGGGGCTCCCGGCCGGGGCAAACGCGCAAGCGCCGCGCCACCTCGGATGCTGCCGGTGAGTCCGGCGGCGGTAGCGCGGAGGCGACGGAAGAGCCCTCCGACAAACGCGGCGGTTGCTGCTGCTGTTGATGCATCTGCTTCTGCTGCTGATGCTGATGCGAAGATGCCGACTCGCCCTCCTCGGCGCTGCCGCTGCCGCCGCCCCGAAGCTTTCGGGCCCCTCCGCCAACTACGGCACCATCATCATCACCCCCCCCCCCTCCACTCCCGTTCCTCGAGCCACCGGTCGGCGACAGTACGGCGGAAAAGGCCCGCCTCACGTTGGCGGCGCACGAATCTGCGGCGCCCCCGGCAGGCCCCGCCGCCGCCGTGACCGTTTCGGCGAACGCCTCCGGGTTAGGGGTTGGGCGGTGCAGGCCTTCGAGGGCCAACACCGGCGCCGAGGCCGCGATGGCACCGTGGACGATGTGGGGGTACTTTAGCCTGAGCCACGAGGCTGGAAGGGAACGAACGGGAGAGCAAAACACAGGCGTCGTGCGGGGTGATTGGTTTCAGGAGGGGCACCGTGGTCAGGGAGGAGAGGGGGGGGGGGTGATCGACGTCACTTGTACTTTCGGAGGAAAGTTGTAGGAAATTTTCTGAATCTACTCAGACGCAAGGCTTCGGGGTAGAATGCATACAATGAAGCAAGTTGCAGCAGAACCCGGGACACAAATCTACGATAGCCGCGGCCCTAAAACGCGGTCGAGTCTAGGCACAAAAGCGAAACGACCCTCCGTGCTGTAGCGCAGTTTGCTGCCGGCGTAAACACCGCGACGGTCGTCTCGACACCGGTTGCATTCATTCTTTTCCCCTCGGTGCAAGGAATACTGCCCACGGGGGTGGGTAGGGGGCGAACGAAGCCTTGCCAAGATAAACATGCCTCGTGAATGTTCTAGGTGGTTGTTCTCACTGACCGAGCATGCCTCCGTAGCTGCCCCCGAAAGCAATGACGGGGGCGCCTTCCGCTCCCAACTCTTGCTTCAGAGCCGTCACCAGACGAGCGTAGTCCGCGAGAGCTTGAGGCGTGCTGCGAACGCGGAAAGATAAAAGGCACGTGACAAGGTTGTGAAGTAAGTCACACGGAGAGACGGGCGAGCCCGCTTGCAAACACTTTTATCCCCCTCCCGAAAAAAAAAAAACGAAACTCAGTAGTAAGCAGTTGCACGGCAAAAATAATTCAATAACACACGCCAAATTCATCACCAGATACCAGCAACAGAGAGACAGCCGGGCAGGATAGTATGTACGATAGGTTTACCCAGCTGTAGCTTGCCTCAAGAACTCTCGTCTTTTGTCCGGCGCTCCGAACGGCAGCGACTCGCCGTAGAATCTGTGCTCTGCGAACACGAGGAGAGCGTTGAAGGCGGGGGCGTTCTCCCACATGAGCCCCGAGGCTTCGAGGTACAGCGACACGTCAGCCTCGTTTCCGGTCTGGACGACAAAAGAAAAGAGAAAACAGAGATCGAGACAGAGAGAGCCAGACAAAGGTAGAGAGACCGAAAGACAGACAAGCAAACATACGCACGCGCACGAATTGATCGTTAGTTCTGTCCTTGACTCCTTCATCTCTGGATATAAAGATGCGCTTGTCTTGTTTCTGTTAGAAAAATGCAACAACAAAAAAAATGTGTTGGCTTGGTGGTCAGGGCTATCGTAGACTGCTCCACCGCTGTTGTGACATCTTCGCAACCGCAAAAGTCCTATGCACATGTTCCCGTCGTCCATCTCATCCCATCCCCCCTCGCAGGGCCAAGAAAGAAGAACGCCTCCGCTGGCGCTCCGCAAACAAATGATTCTTAAACGATCATTGGTTCTTCGTATATTTAGAAGTTCCGCAAAAACAAGAAGACACGGCGACGACGGTAGCATGAGCAATAGCACCACTCATGTGTTCCTGGATTTTTCAAACGTGCTTGCTCAATCAAGCCTAGATTATACCGAGCAAAACGAAATAGGGAAAGCCATCGTCTACTTCGAGTCGACACTCTCAAAATAACCGTTCCGCTGGTGGACGTTTCACCTTCTTCAATCACGGAGGAAGACACACGACACATGCACCGAGATACATCCAAGTCGATACCTGCACTACGGTTCGCAAAACGTCAGGGCGCAGCGACAACAACCGCAGCAGCAACGCTGATGACGTCATTTCAACTCCTTCGTCTAGTCAACCGAAAAGTAATATAAAGAGGGGGGCTAAAGTCTCACGTAAAAAAAGATCGGCCCTGGCGCCCCCGGTACCGCTTGCTCCCCGCCCCTCCCCGCCCCTCCCTCAGCAGCAGTGCCTCTGTTGCTTTTTCTCCTCCTGCTGGTGCTGGTGCTGGTGCTGCTGCTGGAGCTCGTGGATGCGCCGTCTTCTTGACCGCGAGGACTGTTAGCGCTGCCTCCGCCAGTCGGCCCCCAGTACTCCCTGCAAACGAAGTAGCGCTGCTGGAAGGTGTTGTCGTCGTCATGCTCGGACACGGGCGTGTGGCGGAAGTGATCGAGCTGTTCATGAAAGGGGGGCGCGGAGGAGAAAGTCAAAAATGCGGGGGGGGCACGCAGAGGAGGGTGCAGGGAGAGGTTTGCGAGTTCCCAGCATAGGAGGGCGGGGGGGCGGGCGTGAGTTCTGGTATGTTGGTAGTCTCGGTAGATACCCGTGCTTTTTACGGGACGGTGGCAGTGGGTCTCGCCTCCCTACTCGTTGTGAGCGGACGGACTACCACCGCCAACACGTATTTGGAACAGTGCAAGAACCACGTCCGTCTTGAGATGTACTACCCAATAAAAGGCTGCGATTGGAAGTAATAGGTATAGTGTACCCTCTTGATTTCTTCCGCTTGGCACCGCCAAAACTAAAAAAAAAGAAACACGAACATCGTGCATTGCGTCGACATACTCGTTATAAGTGGCAGAAACATAAGAATCATACATTGCATACTTATAGTCGTTTGACGTGGCAGGCTGCCTATCACCATCGTGGTTTGATCTCACACATGCATGCATAGTTCGGCTTGAACAACCCCGGCAAGTTGAGTTGTCGCAGGTACTTGGGAAGACCAGTTCCATTACAACCCAATTGCATCCCACGAAGTACTGCTGAACTGCTGCGGTGGCTCGTTCCCAAAACCAGAAACAGCAAAACTCGGCAATAACAAGCTTGTTCCATGGTATGCATACACCGGTAAAGACCCGCTTTCGCAACAAAACCGCACCCCCCGGAGCGCCGTAAGGTCCGCGGGGCAGCACCGACAGGAAAAGACTACGAACGATCGTGGGAATGGCCAAGCGGGTCCGCCGTCTGGAAATCGTATTCGAGACTCTAGGTGCCTGTTGCCCCCCTCCCCCTCCCTCAAGCCAGCCAGGTCCAGCAATGCGCACCCGCCCTAGCCCTGACGCTAACCCTTTCCACGTGGCAGGCATTTGTGCTAAAACTTGGGGGACTTGATACACATGGAGTGCTTTGGGCACACAGATCGCAATTCCATTTGGCTGAAGGACATGGTAGTTGGATACAATTGCACATGCGTTTGCAGTAAATACCCCCCCCCCCCCCCCTCCCCCCACTCGGTGTTTGCCATCGGGATTGGGTTTTCGTCGCTTGGCAACGACGTTGTAAAACAAGCCAATTCACTTCGTGAACTCGGCAACCAGGTTACTGTTTTTTTTTTTTTACCTCGTTTTTTTTTTGGCGGTAACCATAATGGTGGTCGAGTAGATCATGTTGTGCGGGGTCGAGAACCCTCACTCCGCGCAACGGGGGATGATCGCACCACGTTGTGTTAAAATGGTCAAGCACCCTCGAGGCAGTCACACAGTGCTTATAACTGTCTCTGGAAGTGAAAGCACCAGAAAATAATTTAAGTCATACGTAGCTGTCATCCGTACGCAAGGAAGTAAGCACAAGATGCCGAACACCCTTGCAGGATGCAGCTCACCCTTCATGCGACTCGCCAAATACCTCACGGTGCTTCGCGCTTGGTGATGTGAGAGCCTGGTCCGGTGAGAACCCGGCGTGCTCCGTCCCGGCTTTGTAGGGATGCGAGGTCAATGGTCTAATGACTACGGCATGCACGACTATGAGTACACCCCCCCCCCCCCCAGTGGTGCTCGAGGAGGTGTCTTTGTCGGCGACCGCCAGAAATTGCTTGGCAGCGCCGGAGGCAGAGCGGGGGTATGCTGTTCCTCTCCCGTCAAAACACTCAAACACGCCGCCAGCAGTTTCGTGTCACGTCATTGCACTCGGCTTGCATGCTGTGCTGGGTAGGAGCCATGGTCATCGGCTCTATCTCGTTTGAGAACACGCTTGTCACTCACCGTCTGCGTGAAGAATCGTTCCTCGCAGTCCGCCGTGGACGGACGACGGCCTCCCGGCGGGAACGCCCCTCCTCCCAGTCCCGTTGGCACCCCAACGCCTCCTTGGTGCAAACCCAGCGGTGACAGGTGCGGCCGTCGCCAGCCCTGCTGCTGCGGCGAGGAAGGTTTTGGATGGAAAGTGGGACGAGAGAGTGAGATGCCTGCCTTTGCAACAGCTTTGGAAACAACTCACAACAACATCAGCTATATACATACGCGTACAGCGGTAGGATATAGTATAATAGTCGCAGTCTAAGGGTGCGATATGAATAGACAGGTTGTCTCTGGGAAACATATACTCTCTGTTCAATTGCGAGCAAGCACTTTATCTCCTGCCTAAGTAGAACACGCGTGGTGTACCGTTGTACTGCTGCAGAGTACAACTTTCTCGCTCTCTCGTGAATAATCATTCAGGAATGTAGTCACGTACGGCAATACAAAACTTGGGATGCCGCCTCGAATCAACTGTATGTTACACCCTTCGTCACCCCCGACTGTGAGGAAAAATACTCTTCCCAAATCGAGAGCACACGCGTGCTATGGTCTCCACTAACACACACGTGATGACCGGCAACCTACCCACGTCATATGGGAACACGATGTGCGGCCGAACCTCTGGTAGGGTACACTCCAGCAGGACGTAATTCCTCAATACTTGCTATTTAGGTTGTGAGGCTGTTCCCGCCGTAATTACAAAAGTAGACTGTTTATTTTTCCGTAACAAGTAGCTGCTCTATCTTCAGGTAATATAAATGCGGTGTAACCATCCATGAGAATCAGCAGGCGGCAGCATGTGTATGCAGTCGGCCTGCTGTACCCGCACGCGCGACACTGACTTCAAAGGCAAAACCAAGCACGACGGCGTACAGCGGTGTGTCGGTGCTTGTTCCGAAGGGGTGGTGGGGTACACATACATTGTACGCTGAACGCATGCACGCATCCACGCGGTGCACCAACACAGGAAACGGGACCAAATAATATTTGCATCACATCGTTGAGCATGCACTTGCGGACAATCGCGACAAGGCTGATGGACTCACCACTACTACCTCCATCTATTCGGGGGGCGCTTGCTGTGCCTGCGCTTTTCTCTAGGCTCGTTCGTCAGCACCTGACAGGGCGAAGGTTGGTTGTTGTACTCACAGGCAGGACCTGCCTTGTTGTACAGCAGACGAACACTGAGAGAAAGAAAGAGGCCCTGCAGAAGGTCTTCAAAACGCAACAACACCGCACATCGCCTTTTTTTGTTTTTCCTCGAAAAGTCGATGACTCTCCTCTCCGTCTCCCTCTCTCTCTCATCACTCATCACACACTTTCTTGGAGCGCCACAGGGTCATTCTTTGCCACAGATACACAGCAGTGCTCGAGCTAGGCGCTTTCTACCCCCCGAACGGGCTGTGCGTCAACTCTCTGCTGCGCGTGGACAAACAGCTCTTTGGCGTTGTGTGAGGCGTGTGCCGCCGTCTCTCCGTCTTCAACTCTTCTGTCCCTTGAACTGCCGGGAGCATCTATCCGGAGCATACCACACGGGCGGGCCGGAATTTGGCATCACCAACAACTACGAAATATCGACTGGGGTTGACAGGACCAGGACGGCATCATGCCAGTGTCGTCGTGCCAGCATCGGTACAACGAGGTATGTATGTCAAGGAAGTAAGTCCCCCAAGATGTAGGGCGGTGTAGGTAGGTGGTGGTGGGGGCCGGTGGTCGGGTGTTCCATGTTCATGCACGATGTCCTCGTTGTTCATCGCCCCGCTGGAAGAGGAGGGGGTGCTGAGGGCTCTTCGGTTTACGATCGTGTGTCTCCTGGCCATTAATAAGCACTCAACACAGCCGCGCCACCCACAAGGTGCTCAGTGCTCTCTGCTCCTCTGCCCGCCGAAGGGCGGGGGTTGGCCAGCAGTGTAGGGCGTGTTGCAGCGGGGAGGCGCTCCCAGCAGGCTGCTCTTCTTTTCAGCTCCTTTTTGTTTGAACGAGAGGATGCACGTCACATATCACACATCACAGCATTTTTTTCTACTTTTCTTCTTGGTTGGCATCCCAACAAAGGACGCACACTATGCCCCGCCCGTTCCTTGACGAATCAATAGCGAATACCCGCCTGCGCAATTTGGGTTACAGCTATATGTAGGGATGGGTTTAGCCTCCACCGAACTGCATGTACCTGCCTCACTCACACGGACAGACCGGGCTGCTGTGCGGCCAGTGGCGTCTTGAGTTTTTTTCTCCGGCTCTTTTTTTCCCCGTGGCCGCGAAGTTCTTAGGTCGCATCGGTGTTTTGTCAACATGGCGGTCCTTTCGTGTTGGAGTGCACACCACCCCTTACAAGCTACAAGCACCATCAAAGTGCACGCCAACCTACATGCGTAGTATTGTCTAGCACCTATTCACGGAAGGTGTGCACTAGCTGACCTCTGACATCAACTGGTGGTGTTTGGCTGGCCTTTGCAACATGTGGCTTGCCAAACAAAAAAAAGAACAAAAAGAAGTAATTTACTTGCTGTGCCCACACCGCTGTCGGGGTCTCCAACAGCAGATGGTCTCCTCTCCAAGTAGTTTTTTTTACTTTGTGACTACTCCGTAATTGTTGTTGTTGTTGTTGTCTTCACATTAAACTCGTGTCAGTTGCTAATCCCAAAACCTAGCAAAGACGCGGTCCGTGGTCCAGTGTTTACACGTTGATAATAGATCTTTAGGACTAACGCGTTCTAATTAGTCGGGCGTCAGTTGCTAATCCCAAAACCTAGCAAAGACGCGGTCCGTGGTCCAGTGTTTACACGTTGATAATAGACCTTTAGGACTAACGCGTTCTAATTAGCTAATTAGTCGGGCGTTGCTCGCGTGAAAAACCTAGCCTTTGCTAAGTTCAACATCGGTTAGTCCTAAAGAGTTGCTATCAAAGTGTAACCAAGGCTCCCGTGGTCACAAACATGCTAGAGCCATCAGAAGATCCGAAGAACACGCACAAAGGGTACACAAGCCCGAAGAGGTACAGCTACATCCCTGCAGCACGTTCGCGTGCCCAAAAACTGAACTACCCGTCCACACACTACATTCGACTACAGCAGCATCACCCCCCCTGTCCTATGTCCTACACTTTAGGGTTATTATTAACGCAACGTCGAAATCGTTCTTTTTTAAACGGAACGGTTAAAAGAAAACCCGACTTTTTTTTGCTTGTTCTTTCGTGATGTCATCGCAAAAAGTACGTTTCCTTCCCTGAATACACGCTTTGCTCGGCACACAACAGGTTGACATGGTATTGCTCACCATAGAGCAGCGATAAAAGCGCAATAAGCAGCACCCGGCACAGAGGACAACGCACTTAGAAAGATCCCGTCCATCCGGCCTGCTGTTTTCAGTTTTCAGCAACAACAGGCGCACGGCAGAGTGTCGCAACCTGGGTGTTGCTTGCGATTTCTTCAGTTTGCCAGCTCATTTTTCACGGTTGCGACTCCCATCTTTGACCACCACCTACCCAAAGGTAGACGAGCTCAACAATCATAGGGCGGCAGCCGCGCTGACGGCCAGCATCATATAGATGGCCAATCCGAAAGAATTAGCGTGTTGGAGGCCCTGTTGCTCTACTGCTGCGTGGCGCCGTGGATTGATGTTGATGTGTCCGACCAAAAACAGATCATCTCCCCGCAATTTTTCCAACGGCATTTTGGTGAGGTGGCACACGTCTCTCACACACCTTATTGAGCAGCACCCAAGCACCCAATACCCACGAAGCAGCACGGCGCCGGGAGATGGTATCATATAGACAGCCGAACCGAAGGAATCAGCGCTTTGGAGGTCTTGGTGGTGCTGCTGTACTCGTTCTACTGTTTCCGTGTTTGCAATGTGTGATCGAAAAAAATTCCCCAGCACCAACAGCAGCAGTTGAAGACGAGAGCACCACGCAATGTCTAGTTTTGGACCAAGAACGGACTGAACGCCGCTTCTGCCGCTTGTCCATCTCCACAACAGACCTGGACGTGAGTCTGGCAGGTCTTTCTAGCGTTCTCAGTGATGTTACAGCGCCCGCGGTGCGCTTGTCCGATGTTTCTGTCAAAAACACGAAAACGTTAAAAGAGCAAACCCCAAAAAACCCCGACTCCTTCTTTTCACGCTTTCGGGGAAAAACGCCTCCATATATGTTCAAGAAAACACGGTTTCGTTTTTTTTTTCGTGTTTTATTGGTCGATAACAATAGCCCTTACCAAAATGAATGTCGACTACAGCGTACAGCTGTCCGGAGTTCCGCCTGTACAATAACACCATGGTAGACATGGTACAAGTCCGGGGCGCGCAACTGCCGTCTGAAGTGCTGTCAGAATGCGTCCGTGGACATACAATGAAAAAGAACAACCAATCAAAGCCATCATTGCAATTGACAATCACCGAATCCTCCCCGTAAGCCAGTTGTTATCGTAGATTTTCCCAGATTGGAATCCGGGGGGTCGACAGAAAATGGTAAGCCACCCCCCGAAAGAGGAGGTCTGCGTACTGGATAGCTCGCAGAGCCCACCACGGCACTTCGATACTTAGTCCTCGCCTCACAGAGACCTGTTCCTTATCAAACCACCGAGGCTGTACAGTCCACTGCTGTGGGCTTTGCGGAGCCAAGTTTGGGCAGCTAGAATGGAGTGTGCACAGAGTAGCCTCGGATATGAAAGCGAATTCACAATTCCCAGATTGGAATTTCAACCAATTCCACTTTGAAATCAAGGAGGCATTCCCACGCAGGATCGTCCAATATTCCCAGATTGGAATCCTATTTTTCCAAGCATGATGAACACACACTCCACCCCAGCTCCCCAAACTTGGCTCCGAGAGGCTCACAGAAATGTAGCCTATAGCCTCGAAGGTTTGATCGCAGACGGGTTTCTGTGAGGCGAGTACTGATTGACAAGGCGCTTTGGTGCGCTTTTCCCCGCCAAGTGCGCAGAACTCCTGCTGACGCACGGGGGTTTGGATGTAGAAGGCGTAATATCGGGATTCCCAGTTGGGAATTATTTCCATAACAACTGGCCTGATCATCTGTGTTGGACACAGCAGTGTAGATGACACTGATTAGGAACCGTTCCACATTGAAGGGTTCTTCCACGATGCAGGTGCACAATAAAGGCACCCGCGGGCTATCCGCGCCATCTCTGCCGCGTCTCTCTACAAAACCAGTGACGTCATCACATACACACCAATGTTCAGGAAAAAAAACGGAAAATATTTGACAACACAAAACATTCGTCCGTGCGTCACGGTTCGATGTCGTCCGTGTGCTCCGGCGCCGCTGCTCGATGCCGCTGCTCCGGCGCCGCTGCTCCGGCGCCGCTGCTCCGGCGCCGCTGCTCCGGTGTCGCTGCGGGCAGTCCTAGCACGACCAAAATCGACCCGCTCCGTCCGTACACGCTCTCGTTGTTTTCCTTCCCAGTCGGTTCCTCGCTTTCTCCCTCGTTGCACTTAGGTTCTTGGTCTGAAAATTCTCGCGCCGAAGGGTCAAACCAGCCCACTCAGCTCGTCACCACCTGTTCCCTCCTCCCCTTTGATGGCGAAGCCAGGTTACGGAGACAGTACAGCTCCCTCTAGCAAACCTAGGGCCGTGTACATAGTGCCCGTCCACCTTTCTTTCTGATGGCGTCTGCCTCCGCGCACAAAACTGAGATGGACATTGCTGTATACACCGACGGCCATGAGGCCCGCGCATCTGCATTTTTGTACCTGACGCACCAGTGCCGACCCAACTCTACCACTATGCACGCCTCGCGGCGGGTGCGCCGCAGCAAAAAGGTATCGGTCCCTTGAGGGTGAGTCTAGCCATGCTCGCCAGAAAGACCCCCCCCCCTCGCTATGGGCCATGCCTAAGCATAAGCCTTGCCGAGGCAGCGAGGGGAAGAAGGAATTATAATAGGGTGTTTGCGGTCGGGTCTTCGATGTTGGTCTTCAGTAAGTTCGAAATCAAGATCTGATTAGATTGCAGATTCCAACACCGCGTGCGAAGACCGGATTGCCTCTCCATGCTCTCTTTAGCTTTTGAGCAGTGTCATACAATATATGTATATGTATCATTTCGCCTGTTTTTGTGCTTCGGGACATATTTCGCCGGCGTAAGTCAATCTTTTCTCACGGTCCTTTCTCATGGGCACGCACGAGGGTGGTCGGTACATTACCGCGCACGCCCGAGGACCGTAACCAACCCTTGGCGCGTGTGCTTGACGCCCAAAGTTGAAAAAACTGGCTCTATACCGCGGGGACGTGTTCCGCAGGAAGAAAGCCTTCCCAAGAAATACAAAAACATTTACTGCTTTCGAAAAAACAGAAGAATTAGAGCACACAAGTCCCACAGAGCATGGGCAGCACCACGGTACTACCGTTGTACACAAGAGCAAGTGATCAACGCAGCGGATTACAGCAGCAGCAGTAGGACCTGCATCAAAGACGCCGCTAAAACACACACGAATTAACGTACACGCGAACAGTGGTCGCAGCAGCAGGAGGAGGACCTGCAGCAAAGATGCCACTAAGGCACACACAAACTAACGTACACGCGAACAGCAACACCGTATGACTACACAAGAGCGAGTGGTCTTACGCAGCGGATTTAAGCAGCAGCAGGGCCTGCAACAAAGACGCCGCTAAAGCACACACACACTTACATACACCCGAACAGCAGTCGCATCAGCAGCAGGACGACAGCATGGAGGACTTGCAAGAAAGACGCCGCTGCAGCACACACGAACTCACGTACAGGCGAACAGCAGTCTGTGAGAAACAAAAAAATACACCGCCCATGGAGCAAGTTCCACACAAATTCTACACGTTTGTATTGATTTCCTAAAGAGCTTTAAGTCCTGGAATTCGTTGCATCTTCATGTTCTAGAGAAGAAATAGATCGTGACACCATTTGTTAAATGCCGAGGATCTACTGCCGTGTCTTTGCAGGCAGGAGGTTGGTCCCCATTTGTCCGATCACCGATGATGCCATCAGCGGTGGTAGTAGTAAGCAGTCTGTCAGGAATACAGGAAGGCATCACAACATACATAGCGATGTGTGTAGTACGTTCAAAAAAGTGGAGTTCCGCTCGAGTTATTGGTTGTGTGAACTGTTCGCCCTTCGTTCCGAATATTCATTTCGGAGTGAACCTTTCCAGGTTGTTGGTGAACCTTTCGCCCTTGCTTGAGGTTGAATCTTTGAAGCTCACACAAAATGAGGAATACGTTGTTTGTGAATAATGCCGCTCCCATACGTCTGTAGCTGAAATGAAGTTGATGCAGCCTTGTAGGTATGTATGCATATTATTCTACATGTAACGACACGCTTGCCCTTTTCGGTTCTTCTGCTCATGACGTTCGTTCAGATATGCACCGAGGAACTAACCCACGTTTCGCCTGTGATGCAGAACCACGAGACTATTGCTGCCGTGCGCCGCCAAACCTCCTTCCATAAAAAAAGCCATCTACCTCTGGGGAGATCTCTAATGCTTTTGCCTTTTACCTAACATGCTATAATAGTTGGCTCGATCTATCGCGCGCAAAGAACACGAAAGAGGAACAACACTGAGACTGCTGTGTACCACGCCCTTGCTGGTATGTGGCTCCTGCTATGTACATTTGCTGGGCACACACGCCCCACATCACACTCTCACTCAGATCGCGCGGATGCAAAGGCCGATCCCCACGGAACCTGTTGGATATGTCTCTCCTTGTGGAAACAGGCTTACCTACAAGACGGTTTTGTTTTTCGCCGAGCAGTTTGCATCTACGTACGAGAGTCCCTCTTGCGACCAAAAAGAACGACAACGATAAAGGCGGAGAAGAAAATAATAAGTTCCTGTGAGGCCGTTCTCCTGCGTGGCCCCGGCTGATGCGCCCAGAAAACACCGAAGTGTATGTACACAGCAGTAGGGGTCCCGGTAGTGCCGGCCGGTATGCGTATTTGCCCGCCAGATTCACAGGCACTTATATTATACCAGACACCCCCGGTACTATTCAGAGAATTGTTGTTGTTGTTGTTGTTGTTGTTGTCTTCACATTAAAAACCGTTCGGATGAGACAACTTTGAATATACATTCGTCCATGTCATGCGATTTCACTGGCACCAGCGGCACAGCAGTTCAATCGGCCCTATTGAGGGCCCGCCACTTTATTGACTGGCGTCCACAACACAAAAAATGAGGCGACCACGCACGAACACGCAGCAGACACAGTGTCTGGTGAAGCGTGGTGTGCAAGTTTGGCAACGTTTGGCTCCGCACTGCCAGCATCAAAACGCGCGTATTTTAGTGGTGTTTGCTTTGTTCATCACAAGTTCACAAGAGTGCGGGGGCGGGGACTTCTGCCAGTGTTACTAATGACCGGCCATTGCCTATTTTGTCGTGCATGTTTTGTCTTTGTTGTTGATCAGGGTGTGGCGGCGACTTACGCCAACTACGGGGGCCTGGTGGCCAGGCGTCCGCTACCCCTCTTCCTCCTCGGGCTTGTGCTGGCTACCGTCGCGTGCGTGGGCCTGATCAACCTGCAGACCACCAATGACGTGCTCTCAATCTGGATGTGAGTCTCTCTCTCTCTCTCTCTCTCTCTCTCTCCCTCCCCCCCCTCTCCCCCTCTCTCTTGAAACTCTCACCCCAACTCCGCGCAGCTGCTTCATGGCGGATAGGCCAGGTTGAACGAGTTGAAAGAGGAGGGTACGAGCTTATCAAGCAAACTTTGACCCCTTTCTCTCTTTTGTTGGTCTCGTCTCTTGTCGTGTCGAACCGACCGACCCGCCGACCGACTGACCCCAGGTACAGGGGGACCAGGCTCGACGGCGAGAAAGAGTTTTACGAAACCTACTTCGGCGGGGACACTCGGGCAGAAAACGTGATGATTTCCGCGGATGACGGCGGGAACGCCGCCACCCTTCTTGGGTTGCAGGCCATGCAGGAGGTGGGACACGTTAAAAACAAAGAAAAAATATAACGCTTGGCTCGAGCTCTCGCTTGCGGAGGGGATTCAGCAGCTTCGCCGCCCATGTGTACACATGACGTCTGTTCGCGGAGGGAATTCAGCTGTGCCGCGCACGTGTACACATGGCGTCTGTTTTCACAATATACAGGGGTCGCCATTGGGATGTTCACTTTTGCATCTGGGTGGTCCTCATGTTGTGTGTAGTAAAAAGTTGTTCATGCGTATTGCCGCGCCGACGTCGGTTGACAACATAGGGGCGCCATTGGGATGTTCAGTTTTGCACCCGGTGCTTATGATTTTAAACTGAGTCTGTCGTTTTGCCACTGACGTCGTTTGGCAATACAGGGGCGCCATTGGGATGTTCCCTTGCATCCGATTCTTGCATTTTGAAACAGAGCTTGTTGTTTTATAAGTTGGTTGTCTGTCGGTTTGCCGTCGACGATGCCCACGAACACGGACGAACAGGCGGTCTCGTCGCTCATCCCGGGGGGCGACAGTGAGATCACGTACGAGCGCAGCGGGGAGACCTACGGGGTGGCCGACACCTGCCAGTCGGCCACCGTCCCGTCCTACTTCAGGCCCTACAACAACACGGCCGAGTCGCCCTTCGACTGGGCGTTGACTGGGGCCTTCATGTCCTACGGCTACCGGTGAGTTGGAGTGACGTCTGCGTGCCGCTGATAGCTACTTCGCGTGCTTGCCGCAGACGTCGGAGGATTGGAGGAAAGGGAGGGGCTGGGGGTTGGGGGGGTAGAGCACACGTCGTTCTGTCATTGGCTTGAAATCGGGCGGGCCTCGTGAAATAGCTTTTGCGTGCCCTGCGTCTGGTTGCTATTGAGTAACACTAGCGTGCATCGAATGAAATTGATTTGTCTGCGTGTTCGTGTCCATTGTTGGAATTCACGACCACCCCCCCCCCCCCCCCCCCCACTACCTTCCTAGCCCATGCACACCAAGACACACCCCATTGAAGCCCCCCCCCCCCCCTTTGGGTTTTCGTCGCGTGGCAACGACGTTGTAAAACAAACCCCCCACTCGGTGTTTGCCATCGGGATTGGGTTTTCGTCGCTTGGCAACGACGTCGTAAAACAAGCCAATTCACTTCGTGAACTCGGCAACCAGGTTACCGTCTTTTTTTTTTACCTCTGGTTTTTTTTTTGGCGGTAACCATAATGGTGGTCGAGTAGATCATGTTGTGCGGGGTCGAGAAACCTCACTCCGCGCAACGGGGGATGATCGCACCACGTTGTGTTAAAATGGTCAAGCTTCCTCGAGGCAGTTACACAGTGCTAATAACTGTCTCTGGAAGTGAAAGCACCAGAAAATAAATTAAGTCATACGTAGCTGTCATCCGTACGCAAGGAAGTAAGCACAAGATGCCGAACACCCTTAGCAGGATGCAGCTCACCCTTCATGCGACTCGCCAAATACCTCACGGCGCTTCGCGCTTGGTGATGTGAGAGCCTGGTCCGGTGAGAACCCGGCGTGCTCCGTCCCGGCTTTGTAGGGATGCGAGGTCAATGGTCAAACGACTACGGCATGCACGACTATGAGTACACCCCCCCCCCCCCCCCCCTGCTGGTGTGCGTGGCCCCGCTGCACTCAGGGAGGTGTACCTCTGTGCCAAGGAAGGGGTGGGTCCAATTCCTCTGCCCGCGGAAGACCTCCCCGCAGGGTGGGGGATCGATAGGTTCCCGTGCTCGAGGCTGTCCCCGCTCGACTGCTTCCAGGAGGGAGGTTACGACTGTGAGTTCTTGTAGCAGATGCTTGCTTTTGGTGTGTTCGGCTACCGTTAGATAACACACCCCCTGGACCGATTTTCAAAGCTCGACTACCCCACTACGAAGATGGTGATACCAAGATCAAACGATACCTTTGCGGAAGCTTTGGGTGCGACCGGTTCAATTTGCTGGTTTATTTTGGCACCTTCGCGTTTTTTTATCGCTGCAGGGTAGTCGAAGCTTGACAATCGGTCCAGGGGGTGTGGTACCTTTCGCACCCGACGGTGATGTTGTAGGTGTGCCCTGGAAACCAGTTTTATGTACCGCCCTGGGTTCAATCAATAACGTCGGAGTTACGGTATTTGCGGTTCGGTTCCCTCGAGATCGTTTTGCCCCGAAACCAATTTTTTCATGTGTGCTGAGAAAGACGCATGAGTTTTTTTCTCACGCCCTACAGCAGTGGCGTAGGTGTCTTACAGCGGGGGGTGTTATGGTATTTAGCGGCTCTTGGAGGCTGCTGAATGAAATAGATTTCCCTGTGCAAATATTCCTATGAAGTAGACGAAGGCATAGCCCCTCCGTGTTTGGGCGATGGTACAGCACTCCCCTGCTCCCGATCCCAACCCCCTTGCCTCACAGGAAGACGTTTCATGTGGTGGGATATCGTCCGGTCGATTTTTTTCATGGTGTAGAGTAGAAGCGACGCCTGCGGGTTGGCTGTGTCGGCCATGGTGTTTTTTCTGGACACGTGTATCGCACGCCGTCGCTAATGCTGCAACTCACCGTCTGTCAAAGGTCGACCGCACGTTGGCTCATGTCTAATAAATATTTCTGGTGCCTGCCGTGTTTGCGTCCTCCGGTCCCTCTTACCCCTCCTACAAAAAATCAGACCCCGAGGCGTTGCAGCAGCTGGACCTGGTGTCGACGTTCGTGCGCTTCAACAACGAAACCGTCACCGGTGAGAGAGCGAGCGACCTCCACAGTATTGAGTCAGTCAATCAGTCCAGCGGCGCGTAGCTCGTGTCAGCGTTTCGAGAGAAATCGTGCGCCGCGGAGCAGAACGAGCATCGGCCCCTCCAATAGTAGCGCTTGTACCGTTCACTTCCAGCCGGGCCCACTTGTCGTAAAGCTTGTAGTAGTCGGTGGTGCCGTTGTCGACTGATCGGGGATGCCCCCGGACGTGTAGACGCCCATCAACGGCGCCAGGCTTTTTGTCGTGTGTCGGTCACCTCGCTTTTCTAGAAGTCACCGTGCGGCGAGGACGGAAGCCTCTTTCTCTTTTTTTCGCGCGTGTGCCTCGTTCTTATTTCGTCTCGAGTGGCTTTTGACAGCAGCAGTAGCATCAGCGGGGGCCGAAACGGTCAAGTTATGCCTTCCTCCTCGCTGGTTTATGAAGCGGCTCTTGCACGTGTGTGTGTGTGTGTGTGTCTGGGTGTGTCTGTATTGTTGGCATCGACCGGGCTGACCGATGGAAAGACGACAGTGCCAGCGGGTGCAATCAAGGACCCTGGGAAGGGGGGCAAAGTTCGAAAAATGCGCATTCCAAAATGGATCATCTGTCTACAATTCCTTTCACAGAGACGCGCACTGCCCTCGTGTGTGTGTGTCGTTTGTTTTCGCCTTTCCCTTTTCCTTTCCTTAGCCGAGTGCGTCCAAGACTTCGGCGACGTCGTCTCGGCGCTCCAAGTGTTCAATGGCGGGACGGAGGAAGAGGCGGCGGCGGCCAGCGCGGCGGCCACTGCACAGCTCACCCTTGTCATCGACGCGTTCTTCAGCTGGGGGTACGGACGTTTTATCGTTTTATCATGTCTAAGCAAGCATTGACTACATGCACCCCCCGCCGAGTCATGCAAAGCATAAGAGTACGCTCCCCCCCCCCCCCCCGAGTCCTTGGGGCGCGGAGCTCTTGCATATACGTCCATATTTACCGTCGTCATTGCCCGAACAGTCACATCAGTGTCACCGCTGCCTGCCTACAGAAGACGGCAACCATCGTGAAGTGATGTTGGAACGCCACCGTCGTGGCCCCTTCGTGACTCACTTCAACCGACCTTCAACCGACCTTCAAGGGACCCAACACCCTGTGTGGTACACATTTGATGTAATAGGGTAGCGTCGGCGGAACTTGGGTAAGTTTTTTTTTTTGTTAGTTTCTCAGCAAGCTCCAGAGGCACACACATCTTTTTTCGACATCACTCTCTTCGTCAAATCTTCGGTCGGGGCAGTTGGTTGCAGTACTCCCGCTGCTCTAATTGAAGCACGAGGTTTTACCTTTTTTCGTCTTATTACTATGGAAACGACCTCAAAAAAACATCATCGCTTGGAGGCAGATGACCATTGAAAAGAAGGTGGCAATCCCCCCGATTCCCTCTCTTCACGGGTAAACGGATTTCCGTCTCCTATGTCCAATAATTGTATGCTGTGCTGTGCTATGCTGTGCTTTGGTCGGCAAACAGGTACCACTGGCGCCTCCCCTACACGGAGATGACGGAGGACGAGATCGTCGCCCACCTTCAGGCGGCCAGGGAATTCACCTCCTCCGACGCCGACCCCACCGACTGCATCGCCACCGCGGTCGCGGGGGGGAGCCCGGCGTGCTGCCTGAGCTGGGCGGCTACGAAGCTGGAGACCGACCTCATCTTCGCCGGGGTGGACGACAGCGATGGGTCCATCAAGGTGTTTGTTTGTGTCTTTGTTTGCTTGCCGGTAGATGTAGGTTAGGTGGTGATGAAGTATCTACGCTTGTTTTGGCGTGGAAACGAAGCTTGGGACGTTTTGTTTGTCGTTCATGCCTGTAGATGTCGGTCAGGTAAGAAGTATCTCAGCGTGTTTGGCGTGGTGGCGTGGAACTAAAGCTTGCATGTATCTCCGTAGATTATGTTTCATGTGCATCTCCGTAGATCTCTCTCTCTGTCTCTCTCTTTGTCACCCACATGGCACACGTGTCGAAGTCTCCCCTTTGTGTGCGGTGGAATTGGTGCAGACACGGTGCCAGATCAGGCGGGCTATTGACGGGTCACATGCTCTTTTTGACACCCGTCGCTTGCTGCGTTCTCGTCTGGTGAATTTTTCTGTCGTTGCGCGTTGTGTGGCATTTCCGCAGTACCTCATGACAACCCAGGCAAACTTCCCCATCAACCACCCGGCGTGGATCAGCACGATGGAAGCCAGAGGGGTCACGACCGAGGAGGGCAGAGAGGCAATTGCCCTGTGAGTGTGTGCGTGTTTTCTTAATTAGCTTGGACCGCTCTAACCGGCTGACCATTGACAAGACGTCGGTCAGTCTTGTTATAGTGTGTGTTTGTGCGTTGTTTCCCGACAACCAACGAAGCACCAAATATTTCGTTTCGATTTGTTTCGTTTCCCTTCCCGCCGCGCGTGTGCACGCGCTGTTCCCGCACGCGATGACCTGTCTTTTCGTTGTGGACGGAGAGCTGTTCCACGATGATGGCTTTGTTGGGGTTGTCTTTCTTGCTCCTGTTGTTGTTGTTGTTGTTGTTTCTGTATTTTCTGTTTTTGCCGGTGGGTAAATGTTGCAGTGTTTGGTGGTGGTGATGTTGATGTTGGTTTTTGTGAAAGTCACAGTGATGAAGCTATGCTTGCTTTTCAGGCGCGATCGCTGCTTTGTAGTATACCTACCCGCCGGGAAGAGTACAAAAATGAAATTAATTTCCTCTTAAGAATCCCAGCGGGTTGGGTGCCCGCGCTACAGCCTGTTGGTGTGGTTGTTCGTATCATGGCAGCATTGAGACTTGTCTGTGTATACCCGTCGTTTCCTTTGAGATAAAACCACGAGAGAACGGTAGGTGTGTACTTCAAATAGTCTTCGAACGTGCAAGGCAAGACCAAAATGCTCTGGCCTGGTGTTATATCAAGCCACCATGTGCTACAAAGCCGCGAGACGCAAAAGCGAGAAACGAGCGACTAAGAAAGACGGATAATTTATTATGTTCGTGCGGCTCTTTTGAACAGATCGGCTCGTCGCCGCTCTCTCATTTTTTGCTTGTGTATGGCATGGCACCTACCCCGTTCATGTGTGACAAACAGGGGGTGGGAGGCCGCGATGGTCGACGACATGACACCACGGTTCGAGGAAGAGACCGGGAGCGGCTTTGGCGAGGGGGAGACGTTTGAGGACGTCGACCTCGACTTCTTCGCCAAGAGGAGCGGCGACGACATCATCGAGAACGGCAACACCCCGGAGCCCTACCTGATCATCATCGCCTACCTGGGCATGGTTATCTTCGCGGCCGTCTCCATGGGCTCGTGGAAGTTTTCGGAGCCCAAGTCGGTCGCGCTGTACTCGCGGGTGTTGCTGTCCCTGGGAGGCATGTTCGTGGTGGCGCTGTCGACGGCGGCGTGCCTGGGCTTCATCAGCGCCCTCAGCATCCCGCTGACCCCGCTGTCGGTCTCCGTCGTGCCGTTCCTCTCCCTGGGCATCGGCATCGACGACATGATCATTTTCATCTACACGCTCGTGAGTGGTATTTAGTCGCTCTCTCACTCATTCAAGTGCGACTTGGTTTGGTGCTTGAGTCAGCGGCCTTCTTGCGCGGGTCGTATCCGTAGCCTCGTTTCCATCAATAGTGTTTCCTCTCACTCTTAAGGTACAGACCCTTGTCAAAATTGAGCGAAGAATTGTCAAGGCTGCCATGCGTGCAATAGCGGGTAGGGAATCAGGGTCACACACCACTGAGTGCACCCCACGCGCTCCTCGCAATCTCGTGCTAGGCACCCAACGAGGTAGTCTTGATGTCGAAAGAGGTCACTCTAACCCCCCCTCCGAAAAATATCGCAATGGCTCTCGCGTGGTACATGGCGTAGCAACTAAGGCATGCAAAACATGAGAACGCCCCGCCCGCCCCCGTTGCCCCGCCTCATTCAATACAACACCGAAATGGCTCATCGTTGCCGTCATATCTCAGGTGCACACCACAGACTCTCCCCCCCCCCCCGACCCCTCGTTCAGTACAACACCGCAATGGCGGCTCCTCGTTACCGTCATATCTC